TGGTTGCCCCGATCCTCAGCTCGACGCTAACGGATGCGCTGCAGGAACGTTTCGCGCGCCAGACGAAACTGATCCAGGTGCCCGAAAACGGCGACCTGAATTTCGAAGGCGAAATCACGAATTACGCGTCGACGCCGGCGGCATTTCCGGGGATGAGTACGCAGTACTCAATAACCTGACGATCACCGTACGGGTACGGTTCACCAACGCTGTCGACCCGTCCTGAACTTCGACAAAAACTTTTTCGGCTTTCTCCACCTACGAGAGCAGCAAACTGTTGCAGGAAGTCGAACCTACACTGATTCCGGAAATCGTGGGATCAGTTGGTAGAAGATATTTCAACGCTGCGTATCGAATTGGCAGTAATCCGCCTGCAGATGAACGACGAAACGGCATCCCGAACCGCTCCGTCCTTGCGATCCGCCCGAAGAGGCGGCCGGCCGCTACCCGTGGTTCGTCGCCGCGCAACTACTTCTATGGCAACGGGGAGGAACAATCACGCCTGCTCTCCGGTTGCGACAACAGTTCCGGCCGTTGCCGGATTTTTACTGAAAAAAAACGAAACGGCAGCTACGCGGGACCCGTTCGAAGTCATCGAAAAATTCCTGCAGGAAACCCCTCCCGCCGTTCCCGGCGACGGGAACGCTCCCCGGGGAGGATCTGTCCCGGGAATCCGTCACCGAAGACCCCGACCTGATTTCCGAAGAACTGGCCGAAATCTATGCAAAACAGGGATTTTATTCCAAAGCCAGAGAAATTTATACCAGATTAAGTTTGCTATATCCGGAAAAAAGTGTTTATTTTGCCGAGATTCTTACCGGGCTCGGCGACAGCGAATCCGATTAACTGACCAATTATAAACGTTTAAACCCATATTAGTAATGTATATTTTCTGCATCGTATTGATCCTGATAGCAAGCATCCTGTTAATTCTTGCCGTTTTGGCTCAGAACCCCAAAAGCGGCATGGCTGCCAATTTCGGAGCATCGAACCAGGTCATGGGCGTGCGTCAGACCGCCGACTTTCTCGAAAAATTCACCTGGGGGCTGGCTATTTCCATCGTAGTACTGAGCCTGATCGCAACGATGACCATGCCGTCGGCCAGCATTTCGTCGAGCAAAAGCGGCGTCGAAAGAGCGCTGGAACAATCGCTGGAAAGCAACGAAAACCTGATGCCGCAGGCATTGCCGGCAGCCGGACAGGACGCAGCCGCTCCGGCACAGACGACGGACTCTGCAAAATAGACGTTTCCGATCCGGCGGCGGCATCGGCCGGTTTCGCCGGACGTTTTATGAATTTATACAAAAAAGGTGTCCAACAAAACATGTTGAACACCTTTTTCATTTTCCCGCAACATGATACGACCGCTCGAACCGGAAGATACGGACACCGTACTAGAAATATGGCTGCGAAGCTCCGTCGCGGCACACGACTTCGTGCCGCGCAGCTATTGGGAAGGGAAGTTGGACGAAATGAGAACCCGTTACCTGCCCGACTCCCGCACGTTCGTCTACCAGGACGAATCGGCGGAAAGCGTCTGCGGATTCGTCTCGCTGGTCGAAAACTATGTCGCGGCCCTATTCGTCCATCCCGACCGGCAGGGACAAGGTATCGGACGCCGCCTGCTGCAATGGGCCGCAGCGCAATATCCGACGCTGGAACTGAGCGTATACGCCGAAAACAAACGGGCCGTACGCTTTTACCTCCGGGAAGGTTTCGAAATCCGACAGGAACAGACCGATGCGAATACCGGCCGCAAAGAGCTGCATTTACTGCTTCGAAACAAGCGATATTGAACCATCCTATGTCCAATCCTCGCGTCACATACAGGTTTACGGCGATGCCGGTTTTGCAATTGCGCCCGCAGAAAACACGGCGCGACGCTTCCAAACGATAATCAAGGCAAAATCAGCTAATTGAATAAAAATATTCAAATAAACGGATCGGGGAAGTTCGATGAACTTCCCCGATCCGTTTATCAATAGAATAGTACGGCAATCTGCCCTTACCGAGTCACCACCTCCCACACCTTGATGCGGCGGTCTTGCCCGTCCGGGCCTTCGACGGTCAGCGTCACCGTCCATTCGCCGGCTTTGGCATAACGGTGCAGCGGATATTCCTCGGAGGATTTCGTTCCATCGCCGAAGTCCCACTCCCGGCGGGCGATCTCTCCGGTCGAACGATCTTCGAACAGCACGATCCGCCGGTCGCGGTCGACTTCGGTAAACGCCCAGTCGGCAGCGATTTTCGGCCGCAGCGTCTCTTCCAGCGGCATCAGCCGGAAAGCGTTTAGGAACGAAGCGTCGCGGATCATCCGGAAATCGTGCGACAGACACATCACCGGATCGGCTTTCGGCCGATCCACATCGAAATCGATCATACACCACGACATTCCGATCAACTCGTTCTCGGTCAACTGCGAAACGACCGAACGACCGGGCCCTTCGACCGCCGCGTAATCGAACGGCGTGATCCAGAACTCCATTTTCAGCACCGGATTCACCCGGCCCGAAATCATAGTCGTACGCGACGTTGGCATACGGGAAATCCTTGATCCACGGCGTAGAACCCCATACCATCGCCCAGTCTTTCCCGTGCTGCACCGGCGTGAAAATGTGGTAATTCTGCGCATGGGCGCCATGTCCCTTGAAATGCAGGTCAGCAACCGGCAGCTTGTTGATATTGCCGTTGTCTTCCTTGATAAACGGACCGCCGGACGCGTCGCCGTCGACCACCAATTCGAAAATATCCTGCCGCAAACCCGGATCGGTAAAGTCCCAGCTATCGTCGTAAGCCTCCACATAGAAATAGAGCCGGTTCTCCCCGTTCACCCAACCGACCTTGACGGTCAGGTCGAACTCCTTCGGATCGAGGTTCTCACCGCGTCCGCCATGCGTATCGTACAACTCCGACAATCCAATCGCATAGGAATCGGGCACCATGTCCCAATCCGAAAAATCGCCGTCGATACGCGGAATAGCCGTCCGCGGAAACTGGAAATCCGATACTCCTTCTCCGGCCGGGCGAACCCGAATGCCTGCTGCGCGCCGAAAATGCACAGCAAAACTCCCAATAAACAATTGATCCGTCTCATCCCTGTCAGTTTTCAAAGGTTTCGTCGCACATCGACTGCGGCAGGTCTTCCGGAGAACTGCCCCAGTTTTTATTCGGTTCGGGCCCCATCTCGAACGCCAGCGTCGCATTGCCGCCGAACAGGTCTTCGTGTCGCAGCCAATTCTTCGAATACGGTGCGCCATTCAGCGTTACGGACTGAATATAGCAATTTTCGCGCGATACGCCGTTCGCCCGGATCGTCAACACCCCGTTCGGATGCTTTACCGACATCTCCCCGAAAATCGGCGTTCCGATAAAATAAACGCCCCGACCGTGGGTAACGGGATAGAACCCCATCGAACTCATCACGTACCACGCCGACATCTGACGGTATCGTCGTTGCCGCAGATCCCTTCGGGAGAAGTATCGTACAGCGTGTAGATCACGTCGCTGATCCGTTTTTGCCCTTTCCACGGTTGTCCGGCATAATGTACATGTAAAGGGTGTGATGCCCCGGCTCGTTGCCTTGCGCATACTGTCCGATCAAGCCGGTAATATCGGGCGCTGGGTTGTCGCGTGTATCTCGGAGCTGACCGTAAACAGCGAATCGAGTTTGGCGACGAACGGATCGCGGCCGCCGAACAGATTCATCAGCCCCTTGCCGTCGTGAGGCACGAAGAAAGTCCACTGCCACGAAGTGCCTTCGCAGAAATCGTCGTCCGGCCGGTAGTGGTTCGAATGGAACGGATCGAACGGCGTCCGCCAACTGCCGTCGGAATTCCTGCCGCGCATAAAGTTCAGATTCTGATCGAAAAGATTCTTATACCAGCCGGCCCGGCCGATGTAATAGTCGTAGTCGTCCCGGTGCCCGAGCATCCGCGCCATCTGAGCGATGCACCAGTCGTCGTAGCAATATTCGAGGGTCTTCGAAACGGAAGTCACCTCCAGATCGCACGGCACGTACTCGTACTGCTTGTAATAACGCGTCCCGCGGAACGCTTTCAGAAAATAACCGAACGTATCGCGGTTGGCCGACGCTTTCATCGCCTCGTAAAGCGCTTCCGCATCGTAACCGCGAATCCCTTGCAATAAGCGTCGGCAACCAGCGGCATCGAGTGATAACCGATCATGCACATGTTCTCGACGCCGGCCAGCGTCCAGATCGGCAGTTGACCGCAGTGGCGGTAGTGCTCCAGCAAGGTTTTCATCAGATCGCGGGTCACGTCCGGCCTGAGAATCGCGATCAACGGGTTCTGCGCCCGGAACGTATCCCAAAGGCCCAGCACGCCGGCGAAATAACGGAAATCGCCCTTATATACCTTCGAGTCGGAACTGCGGTATTCGCCCGTCACATCGGAATAGAGCATCGGGTAGAGCATCGCGAAATAGAGACTCGTATAAAACACCTCCTTCTGCGGCGAATCGGCATCGGCGATCCGGACAGCCGACAGGGCTTCGTTCCAGTCCCGATAAGTCGTTTCCGGACTTTATCGAAATTCCATCCTTTGATCTCGGCCCTCAGATTCTGCCGCGCGCCGTCCATACTGACCGGGGAGATGCCCACACGGACGACGACGGTTTCCCGCTTCCCTCCGAAACGCAGCACGGCCCGCACGTCGGTACTTCCAACTCACGGACGCCGTCCCGAAAATGAGTATGATCGAAAAGACGGCACGAAACGATCGGCTCTGAAAATTCGGCGTAGAAATAGACGTGCTGTTCCGGCGCCCAGCCGTTCGAAACCCGGTATCCCCGCACCGTACGGTCGTCGACCCATTCCAGCCGCGAGATTTTGACGGTATCGAAATCTTCGTCGGCGAAAATGGTCGTCGAATGCTCGCAGCCGTGTTTCAAGTCGATGATCAACTGCCGCATCGCCCCTTCCGGATACGTGTAGCGGTGCATCCCGCAGCGAGCCGTAGCCGTCAGTTCGGCATCCACGTCCGAATCGAGCCTGATCCGGTAATACCCCGGTTCGATAAACTCCTGCTCGTGCGAATAACGGCTGCCGACGCGGTCGGGACAAACCTGCTGCTGCGTCCATACGGCATCCGTAACCGGAAAGAACATGATGTCCTGATAATCGGTTCCGCCGCCGCCCGATTTATGGGTGTGGCTGAAACCGTAGATCAACGGATGGTCGTAGTGGTAGCCGGAAGCGGTGAAATAAGTATCCGGCCCCAACTGCACCATTCAAACGGAGCTGCCGCCACCGGCACGACGCATCGGCCGCCCCGGTTCCATCATCGGCCGTACGCAGGCAGCCGGTTCCGATCCGGCGGCAAACCCGGCCGTACACCACAGCAAGGCGACAGCCGATACGATTTTACGATAATTCATCTCGCATTTTATTAAAAAAGCGGGAGCCTGCCGTTCAACAGGCTTCCCGCAATGAAATTTTCCGAATAAATACTTTTTACCTTTTGCCGCCTCGGCTTCGCGCGTCCAAACAGGTAGTAGATGTTGTCCGCGATAGCGGAAGGAGGAATAAACATACCGCCGTAGTTGCCCGTCGTCGCATTGTGCGTATCGGGGAAACAATAGTCGAACGCACCCTCTTTGTAACGGTCGTACGTCTCCGGAATATTGTGCGGACGCCAGTTGTCGTCGGTATGCACATTCATCCAACGGATCGCCGCATTGGTAATACCGCGGTGGAACTTCATCCAGTCGATCTCCGGATCGACCTCCTCCAGCGGATGCCGTTGGCAATCGACTGAGGCGAACACGGCGAGCACCTCCCACTGCACATGGTCGCGCACCCAGTGGCGAAGTACCAGTCGCTCGAACTGAGCACCGGTTTGGTATTGTACAGCATCGGAATCTCCTCCGGCTCCCACAGGTGCGTGAAAGGCAGGATCGTACGCATCCAGTAAACCGCTTTTTCCTTGTATTCGGATCGCCGAACTGCTCGAACGCCTTGTAGTTGGCGATGGCGGCATGTCCCGCGGCGAACAGGTGGCCGCATGCAACGGGGTTCCCAGAAGTCGCCGCCCTCGGGGCGCGTCATCGACATGCAGAAGTCGAT